ATCTCAAACAACTAAAAACAAAGGTGCTGATGGCAGCAGCACAGGATCAGACGAGGTGAGGCTACTATGAGAAAAAGCAGATGAGCATAATGTTAGAGGTTGAACTAACAAATCCAACTTTATTTAAAACATTTATAAAAGACCTAAGGTGCTGTACAATGAAACAACATAAAACCATTAAACAGACTCGGAGGACATAAATAAAAAAAAAATGATAAAAGCATAAAAGACATAATTAAAATCCGGACTATAAAATCTATAATAATAATAATGATAATAAAAAATAGAAATGTTAATAAATAATTTCTTAGAGTCGGCTGGATAATGAGGTACAAGAGGAAAGCAGCAGACGCTCAGTCTTTACGTAGGTCAAGTAAAACCGAGTCTTTACCGACTGCCTGATTGCTGGAGCCGCCCCTTCTGGTGAAATAGAGGCGGGCAGTCACAGCAAGGCCAGCTCAATTTTAGCACAATGTGTTATGTTGACCTGGAGAGCTGCTGTTTTGCTCTTTCCTGATTTGAACAGACTAGAAATAAATAAATAAAAAAATAAAAAACGAGCCACTTTCACACTTTTCTGGCAGGTTTTAACTGAAGCCCACCACCAACTCACATGTTTTAACATGAAAAAGTCTGCTTTGGAGCGTGTTAAAGGGGATCAATACGTCTTCAGGGGTCCAGCCTGCATTGATGGATCCTCTGGGTTCACCTGGCACCAGCAAACAGCAGGAAATAAGCCTTTTTTTTTAACGCCAAAGACGGAGCCATTAGGAGAAAAAAAAAAGTGTCATTCTGCCGGCCGACTGGACATGTTGACAGTGTTATGAACTGAAAAACAAGTTCCATAGCAACCATTGTCAAACAGTGGAACGTGCTGCTTGGGAGAACTGGGGAAAGCCTCCCTGTTTGTTATAGTTGGCCCGGATTTCTCCTTGGCCTAACGCCCCTCTATCCTGTGGGGGAGCCCACCAGAGGATTAGCTTTTTTTCCGACCACAGGATTCTGCCAAACTGGCACAAGAAATTCCTATCTGCAGCTGCCGCCCTCTCAGTCAGAATTGAGGCCGTTCCCTGTAAGATAGCGGGCAGGGCGTAGGGTGGTTTGCAGGAAAAGGGAAGGAGATGTGTGTATTTATGCATTTCAGTGGAAAAAATGAAACGAAGCATAAAAAA